GACTCTGCTGACATCACGTAAATTGATTCCAAACGTCGTCCCTCCATTGTTGGTGTTTCTGAGATTTTGACGTCACGATAAACCTTCACGTCTTGGGGACCAATAAGACATAATGGCCTGATGATATTAGTTGAGCCACAGATAGCAAATTTTCTTCATTCCTGGGACATGGTAAACATCTTGGAGTTGCACCTGGTTAGTATTATATCGAGGAGTAACTATTGTCTTACCGATGTGAGTTATCTGTAACCTTGAGTTGTCAGCTGTCACCACCACACGACCTCCATTGTACTCAGACAGGTTTTGTAACTTCTGTTTGTCACCCGTCATATGATTTGAGCAGCCATAATCTACGATCCAATCATTCTTGTAGTCAATCCGTTCTGGTGTTGTTACCGTGAGAGCTAATTCTTCTTACTCCGTAGCAAATAACGCTTCAGCATCCCAACCATCTTCACTATTCTCCTTCGAACAAGAAGTAGCAGTATTACTTTCAACAGGCTTTTTCTTGGTCCAACAGTCTTTTGCCATGTGGCCCAACTTCCCACAATTGTAACACTTGCCATCGAACTTTCTACTATTACCGCGATTCTTGGAAGCTCCCCCTGAATGAGGGCCTCCCTTTCCTTGGTAATTTTTCACCTTGTCACCATCTTTTTTAGATCCATTGCCAGTATACCGCTGAAAAGTGCCTCTGCTTTTGCTGGTGTAGAGCGCTTCCTCTTCACCCTTCAGCGAGACTCCTCCCATTTGCTTGGCCATGGCTTCTTGACCTGCAAGCAAATTTTCGAACTCAACAAGCGATGGTTGTGTCAGCCATCCCTGTACAGCGGCAACAAACCCTCGATATTCGGGTCTCAAACCATGGACAATTATTCTTTTTATCCTGGCTTCCCCAATAGCAGCTGTCGGATCTAATTCTGAAATTTCATGGCATATCGACTTCACCTTGTGAAAGTATTGGGCAACCACCATGTCGCGTTGTGCCATTGATAGAAGTTCATTCTCAAGAAGTTGCAATTTTGTATCGTTCCTCTTTGAAAAGAGTGTAACAAAAGTGTCCCATGCTTCCTTTGGTGTTTTAGCATCCCGGATGTGCTCCAACATTTCTTCTTCAATTGTGGTCTTTAAAGCAAACATTGCTTTGCCTGCTTTAATTTTCCACTTTCGCAAGATTCCATTGGCATCTTCTGTCGCCGGTTGTGTAACTTCACCACCACCGACAACCTCCCAAAGGTCTTGACCTTGTAAGTATGACTCCATACATGTTGCCCACGTGTTGTAGTTTTTGTTGTTGAGCTTCTTGATTCCTCCAACTACTTGAAGATCACCCATCTTAACGGCAAGGCTTTGACTACACCGAACAAGCTTGAGTAACAAACGTGCAGAGTACTAAATTACTCTAAACACAAAGAAGCTCCACAAGGTTTGTAATAACCTCGACAATAACTCAAGAAATATTTTCTGATGTGGAAGATCAGTTAAAAACTGCAGCCACAGAGCATACTCAGAATTTCAAGAGATCTTTAAAACGTGGCTCTGATACCAATTGTAGAATCAAAATAGAGTAAAAACTCTAATTGATCGAGAAGAAAAAAAAAACTCTCTTTAGAATAATCTCACAAAATTTTTAAAGGGAAGAACTCTTAAGAAAGTTTTCAAATGCTTATAATTAAGCTTTGATTGTTGGATGATAAAACTCAAATACAAGTAGGGTATTTATAGGTTACAAGAAACAATCTAAACCACTCATTAAAATAAACACTAAATAATCTAAACCATTGAAATTAAAACATGAGAAAAATACTTAATTTTCACCTAACTAAATTGATGTAAGCAATGACATCAAAACTAAATTGATGTAAGCAATGACATCAAATTAATTTAGGTGTGAACATTTAGGCTAATATTGAATTTTCAACATTGCTCTGTACTGGTGAAACCCAGTTGAGGGTGTATACTCTATGCATTTGCTAATTCTACTTTCGGGAATGTACTCTTTTCCTCCATTTAAGTCTAGAGAGAATTTAAATGAGATATTCTTCCCTGATTCTTTAATAAAATTTAATTTGTTGAGAAAAAAAAGTATGTATACATTAATAACATAATTTTTTATGTGATGAATACAACTAAAACTTTAAGATAGACACTGTTAATAAAATGAACGACTAACATAAAAAATTTCGAATTTTAAAATGGATACTTTCTCTTCTAAAGAACCCTTACATCTGCCACTGACCGGAGAATCACTGGTTATAAGAACAGTGTAACTACAGTACAATACTACAAAAAAAATAAAATAAAACTGGAGTGTTATTTGTGCACTTCTTAGGCAATAAGATTCTGGAATTGAGTCACAGGCAATAGACAGAAAAATAGCTCAAATTCATCCCACGTAAAATGAAACCTTACGATGCGTTATATAGAGACCTCATATTTTTAGGGTTTTTATAAAAATTCTACTTAGGTTTTATCTATTTATTTTTTATTAGGAGTTTTTTTTTCAATTTTACTAGGAGTCTTTATTAGCTAAAAGTTTATCTCTTTCATTGTAACTTCTATATAGGTCTTTTCCTATTCAACAAAGTCGAGAAAAATCGAGATCAACAACTCACTCAAATTGAGTCTCGAAAGTGGATTATCCGTTTACGAGAATCATAGCTAGAAAGCATAACAAGAAGATGATTGTGCAATGTAGTTCTATTCATACGTGGTCCTATACCTGAGACCATAACAATTTGAGCTCCGGGCTGGCAAATAAAGATGTATTGTATTGAACCAAATTCTGAATTAACATATGAGAGTTGACTCGAGATATTTATATACCGATTGAGAATATAATTAAATTTAATAGACAAAATATGAGCCCAATCGAGAGATAATTAGGCTTAATCGGCCTCTAGATTTTTTATTTTATTTTAGATCAAATGAGAAAGGACCAGAAGGATAATTATATCGTTAAAGAAAATCATGGTTGATTTCTCTAATCCTACGTGGGGTTTAAAGGGGGAAGACGAGCATTAGCTCACCCACCTTTTTCATTCATCTCTTCTTCACGCATTCTTTCTCCAAATTTCTTCTAAATAATCCTAAGTTCTTAGACTTTAAAGAGCTGGTTTTTATCGCCTTAACTAACCATTTGGGATCAAGAGAAGTAAGATTTATTCTTAAAATCTCAAAGGTTTCAAAATAAGCTCATCACCTTCATGGGAGGTGATTGAAGCTTTATGGAGGACATAAGAAGGGTTTGGTCATAGAGCTATTATAGGCTTGATTTATGGTATTAATATGTTTCTAAATTCGTGTTAATACTTCCCTTAGTATTATGTTTGATTAGAAATTTACTTTGATGCTTGTTTGTTTTAGTAAAAGAAATAAGTTACCCCTTTTGTGCAAAAGGGAAGGAAAAGTTTGGAAGGAGTTAAGCAAGGGGTTTTTTTAATGTTTTGAGCCAAGGCAGTATACTTTAAACTTTAAAATGTTTCTTAGATTTCATAAACGTGATGTTTTACATGTTGGTACGATGCATGTTTGTGTTTCGTGATAAGCATGCTAAATGATTATTTTGACGATTGTGTTGTTAAACGCATGTAAAAATGATGTTATATGATCCCACACTACTCCCATAAGACTTGGGAATTAATCAGGGCCTTAAAACAAGTGTTTACAAGGGTATTGGATGTGATTTTTCAAGCTTGAAATGGTCAAATTTGAGTTCTAGTATCAATATTATTCTTATGATGTTGATATCATATGAAATCGAATAGGTAAAAATTTAGGTAAAATATGAAAAAAGTATTAATACTCATTCTTAATGTATCGATACTACACATTCGGTATCAATACCGAGACAAAATGTTATATTCCAAAATGTCAATTTGATATCAATATCGCTCCGAAGTATTGATACCCTAAGATAAATATTGATACTCCATGCTTGGTATCAAGACCCAAAATTACTTTAAGCTTGATTTGGCTTTTAAATTGAAGGAAGAAATTTAGTATTCACCCATAATGATTATATGAGCATAGAAGGTCTTTATTCACTAAATGACCGGAAAAAAAATTAAGTGGTAAAAATTATCAAAATTCAAGTACAAAATTATAAAAAAAAATTATCCCTACAAGCTTAATGATTGGATTTGAAGATTTTAACTTGATAAAATGTGTCAATTATCATTAGGTCTTATTTAAAAGAGGCCTTCTTCTCCCTAAGTGTTTGATATTAATGGAAATGCCTTGAATGCTAAAATACATTTTAGTGTTAAATGAAAAAATTATCCTATATGTAAAAAATGATAATGAATTCCTCACAACTTAAATGATCATTCATAATTACTTAATAAGTCTTATAAAAGATAGTTTAACCGTTAAGTAACATTCTAAGAATGAATGAGCTATGATTGAGAATAAGTTGTATGGTGAACTGCAAGGAAATGTCTGTTCCTTATTGATGCATGATCGTGACTATTTAATCAAGCTACATTGATTTGCCTTAGTGGAAGATGGTTGATTTGCGTGATCTATGAACACCTATGTATGTGTGTCGATAAATTATCTAAATATCTATGATCGAGCAACCTAAATGTTTAGTGATACCAGACAATTATTTCTTATGTCATGTTGGTAGGAATTACTGTATAATTTTTGAGTGAGACTGGGTACCAACCAGGGGCATATGTTAATGGCTCCCTAGGGGAACCATTGCTCACTCATTATTTTGAGAATAGTGTTAAATTTAGTTTAGTTTGTTAATAGGAATAGAAAAAGAAAAGAAAATTTGCATACCCAAATTTTTTTAGAATAGGGTATTAAAATTTTGGACCTCCATTTTTTAATTTCTAGATCCTTCACTGGTACCAACTCTATCATTGGTACCAGATTGCTTAATGATATTATTATCTGTTTAATGATACATGTTATGGTTGTTGGTTATCTTTGCTTTATGAATTACATGCATGATGCTAGGAAATATCAAGTAACTTATGGAGGGTGAGTACCTGTGGTAGTCTTGCCAGTACTGCAGTTGTTGCCTCAAGCTTGATATCTCTTTTTTCCAAAACTACCAACCAGAAAATCAATACTAATGATGAAAAATAGGACATGTAATTTTCAAAAATTATGGAGAGAATAGAAGAAAAATGATTACCTTCAATTCAGAAGAAGGATTAAGTAGTTGATGGTGATGTTCATCTCGAAGCTTGTTGTAACGTTCTATAACAGATTTCATGCTGGTATATATGATACATAGTCCAAACATATTCACTCTATATCAATTATCAATATTAATTATAAAAAATAGAGATAAGAAAGAAAGAAACAAGAGAGACCTGGAGCTGGCAAAATGATGGATCTTGGAAGTACAGGAAAAGATGATCAACCCAACTTCAGCATCGCAGAGAATGGCTAATTCCTTTGCTTTCTTCAATAACCCATTTCTTCTTTTTGAGAACGTCACTTGTCTGCTCGATGAATTCTCTATTTTTCTTACCTCTACCTTCCCTCTTCCCATTTGCTTCTTTTCCAGGATCGATCCAGAACTGGGGAAAATTATACATACAAGGATGGTATTAAGTAATCAATTAAAACCCTAATCATCGAAAATAAAAAAGGGGATTTAGGGATGCAAATCAATGTAAAGATGAAAAGCTTACCTGGGTTTAAGCTAATTATGGATCGAAGTTTAGGGAAAGTGTATTTGTGTTCTAAATGGTAGGCTGAAAGCAGTTTTCAGAGATCAGGTAAAACATCTGTTACGACTTAAAACATGGAGCCGAAATATGTTTATTGGTTTTCATTGTTCACTACTCCCCCAAGTGGCTTAGTAGCTTCATACTCGCTACCGACATCTGTCAGTGAATCTAACAAAACTCGTCTTGATCGATGTGGGAGAATACCTGGATGCGGAGTTAGATTTTGAATGGACATATGTCGGCAATATATGGCGAGTAGCATTAAAATAGAAATCCAGAGACTGAGAAAAGTATCCCGGGACTGACATTCGGAGGGAACCAGGATTCGTGGGTGGTGTACCGGCATGGAAACCAGAATTATGTCTCTATAAACGTATAGATGATCGACACGTTTGTTAATAAAAATTGAAGGATTTTTATAATTGGTCATTGTTTTTTTAAGCTTAATAAAATAATCACCTAAATTATATCATATTTTCTCATTTAGTTGTTTAATTTTTGAAGTTAATATAGTTGTTTAAGTGTCTAATTCATAACGGTGGTTAAAATTTTTGTTATCCGACACATGTCATATTTATAGAATTTTAAAATTTTATTTAAAATAAAAAATTTTAAAATTATATTTTTTTTTGAAAAAAACTCAAAATTACCTTAAATTAAAAAAAACTCAAAAATATTAAAAATCTTAATTTTAATCCTTAAACCCACGCCGTCCACCCCCTTGCCATCGTTATCGTCGATCGAACCTCCACCCAACTGCACCTCCACCAATAACCAATTACCTAAGGAACAACCACCATAACAATCATCGAACCCTACCCAACAAAGAACAAAGTTATCTAGATGAACCCTAAATCGCAAAACCATGCGACCTCAATGGTAGTGGTTGTGACCGTGATCGACAAGGAAGGTAAGGTTAGGATTAGGGATTTTAAGGTTGGTTTTAGGGATTTGAGACTTTTTTGTAATTTTAGAGAAATTAAATATTTTTTTATAAATATAATAACATTTTTATAATTTTAAATAAAGATTTTAAATTACATGAATGCGACACATGTCACTTAACGAGTTTTTTTAACTGTAGTTAGGTCGAGACACTTAAATTTGTAACATTAGACACCTAGATTGATTGAAAAAAGTTTAGGCACATAAATAAAAAAATGTATAGTTTATGCACTTTTTATATTAAACTTTTTTAAATTATTTTTTTATTAGTTTTGGGTGGTTATAAGGCAGTATCTGTTTGAATTTTCTTAATCAATTGATTATGCACACAACATGTAGACACAACTATTCAAACTTAAGACCTCTAAAGAGACAACATTCTCTTGTACTACAAAAATTATTTTAAGGATTGTTTATTGTTCAATACACCTTTAATATAAAAATTCCTGATGAAATTCTTTGAAATTATCTAATTTATTGTACTCAAATTTTGCTCGGTTAATCAATTAAACTTGTGATAATGAATGAAACAATCCAATGTTGTAAAATTATGTAATTTAGAAGTAATAATAAAAGAGATGGAATTATCAAGCGCTTTAGTGATTAAAGAGATGAAACTTATCAAACGATTTCAGTGGTTAAAGAGAGTGTTGTTCTTCTCAAATGTTATAATTTCAAGCAGATGTATTACAGTGTATATGCATATTATCAATAACTAAGAAAAATATTGAACAAATATTACATTATAATTATACCATACTATGAAAAAAATAATAAAAGAGATAAAAACCCAATATGAGATTAAAAATTTTAGTACTTGCATTAAATATGTTAGTATAAAATCATTATTTGGAGGGATATAGTCATAAACATAAGAAACTATTATAAGAAGGTGAAAGAGAAGTGCTTGGGCCTTGGGTGATAAGAGGTGAAAGGTTTTTCCATGATGTATAATTAACTTAACATCCATTGCCGCCTCTTTATTAAAAAATAATTTGAGATAATAAAAAATTAAAGAAAACATAATATATTTCAATACGGATAAGTCTACAATGCAAGTCACATATTGCAACATATGAAGGCGATGTATTGAAACGTATCATTAGCTAAATTGTCCTTATTAAGTAAATATTAAAAGGATAAATTATATGTTTAGTACCTACACTATCATTTTTATTTCGTTTTAATACTTAAACTTTATTTTCTTCAAAACCATTAACGATAATGTGATGTGACATGACATGTTAATTTTTTTATTTTTTTTAATTTTCACATCATTTTTCTATTTCTATGTTAGTATTTTTTAAATAATTTTATTCAACCAATTAAATAGTGACACATGTCACCAATTATGAGGATAAAATAAAAGAAACCATTCTTGCTCTAGCATGAATTAAACCTAAGCTTCTTACATAAAATGTAAGGCACTCAACTATCGAATTAAGCTAGTCATTTATATTAATTTTATCATATTTTGTATTTAACTTATATAATAATATTGCCACAAAATCAATATTTTTTTACGATTATAAAATTCAAATATGTGACACTTTAATTATTTAGCCATTCAACTATAATGCGAATGTATTTTTATTATAATACTTGTATCATTATTAAATTAAGAATAATTTCACTTTATTTGAAATAAAAAGTAAATAATTACTTTTATGTATTTAGAAAATTTATATTAAATTATTCTAAAAAGTTTAGGTATAATATTATGAAAATATTTTAAAATATTTATTTTTTAAAATCATATTATTATTTATTTGAAATAAATATTAATTTTAAATTATCTATTTAATTTTAAATAATATTGTATGCAACCAAAGCATTAGTTTGATAGTAAAAGTATAATTTATCCTAAATTTAAATTATTTAAAATTAAATAGATAATTTAAAAAATAATATTATTTCAAATAAATAATTAATTAAATTTTAAAACATAAATAAATGTTTTTATAATATTATAAATATACCTTTTTATAATTATTTCATATACTTTTTATAAAAATATATAAATTATTTAGTTATTTTTTATTTCTAAATAAAGTGAAAATTTAACTTTTTATTTAATAATGATATATGTATTAAGTTCAATATAATAAGAAAAATTCACACTATAGTTGAATGACTAAACTTTCAGTGATAATTTAAAGTGTCTCAAATTTGAATCTTATAATCGTAAAAAAATATTTGATTTTATGGTGATATTGTTATATAAGTTAAATTCAAAATGTGGTGAAATTTACCCAAATGATTAGTTTATCTCAATGGTTAAGTGATTTGTTTCTCATGTTAGATACTTAAGATAAATTCATACTAAAAGCAAGAATGATTTCTATCTTTTTGTCTTAGTTGAATAAAATTAATTAAAAATGCAAACAAATAAAAAAATGTGATGTGGCAATTAAAAAATAAAAAAATTGACATATCATGTCATGTAAGCATTATCATCAATGATTTAAAAGAAATAAAGTTTAAATATTAAAATTAAACAAAAATGATAATTTAAATATAAAACTGTAATTTATACTTTTTAATATTTATTTAATAAAGATAATTTAGTTAGTGATACGTTTCGGTACATCGCTTTAATGATATGTTGTGGTACAAGTCGCTTTAATGATATGTTGTGGTACGAGATGTGCATCATAAATTTGTTCATTTCAATACATATAACACGCCATCTTATTAAAAATTTTGTAAAACAACCCAACAAGATAAAATTATGGTAAGGAAATAGAGTGTGTATAATGACAAAATTACCTTTCAACATTTGTACATATGGCTATTTTACATTTTATTTAGTTTTTTTAATATTTTATCTTATAATATTTTAAATTTTAGTTAAAACATATACAGTTGAATTAAAATAATTAGTTTATTAACAATCCATCTATGTTACTGATGTGATATTTTCATATATATTTAATTAATGATGTCATATATACCACGTCACTCAAAGTGATGGCGTGACATATTTAAAATCTTAAATAAATAATATTTTTAACATACTATACTTTAAATATAAATAATATTTGCGGAACCAAGTTACCTTAGTAGTTAAAGGGATGATTGATTGATTGATTGTTATCCTTAATTAGTTTGATGACATGCACGTTAGTAAATTGGTCAATATTTAATTTTACGTCTGAACTTTAGATAAAATACAAATTTCACCCTTAAATTTTAAATGAAATATCATTTTAATCCCAAGATTTTAGATAAAATATCATTTTGACTAAAAATTCAAGCAAAGGCCCCTACCATTAGTTCACATTTGCCACCATCATTTTCATTCATCTTCTATCCTCATCAACTACTTTTGACCTTGGAAGATTCATTTCACTCTTTTTTTGACTTCATAGACATGAATGTTGTATCTGTTTCATTGAAAAATTCATTGGATTCAATAAATCTAGCTTATAATCCTTTTATTCCCTTTAAAATTAAAGCATAAAAGTACCTTTATCATTAATATTTCTTTGAAAATAAGGACATCAAAAAATTAAATCTATATCAATAATCAAATTCATAATTCATAATTTTTTGTTATAATATTGTTATGTTGTAAAAAATTAGGGTAAAGTACATAAATGGTCCCCTGACTATATGATACTGCTTTATTAAGTCCCTCAATAAGTAAAAGTTATAAAATGATCATCTGATTATAGAGTGTATCATGAGCTAAACGTTAGTAAGTTGACTATGATATGATAAAATCTGATCTCGAAATCTAATACGACTATCATATATCCCAATCATCATGTTAACGTCCAACTTAGACAACCACCATTTTTTAACGGAAATTGACGAGCTTGGAACATAATGAATAGTCGGTGATCATTTTGTAACTTTTAATAGTCGAGAG